TCAGAGAAAATTCCACTTGGAAAGCAATACTATCAGGCTCATAACTGCTTTACACTGTTCCCTTCTCCTGGTCCCAAACTGAAATATACTCTAGAAAACAAAGGAAGGCTTGGTTGCGTTTCTCCAAGCAGTTTACAAGGATTTTTAAAATACCCCACAACTAGTCAAGCTTTATGGTCAGCTTAAAAATAAAGGATTCAATGACAATGTGATCACCAAAACCCATAAATGTTTGTTGAATTTAATTATTCAGCTAAATGATACTGAAGTTTGTGGATATTCAGAGAGGCATTTCAACTTGTGAATTTCTAATCATTTTCCCATTTGCTATTAGAAAAATAAGAGCCAGTGGACACACCACTCATATCTACCCAGGAGTAAAAACCAATTTAACAAAGGGATTGCAAAACTTAGTAATGAGATAATCACTCAGCTCCAGTGGACCCTGGGTAAGTCCTGGATCCTGTGTGCCCCTCCATTTATTTACCCTTACAATGGGAACAGGAGAAGCAGTTATGAGTAATTGTAATAAAAGCCTGTTTGTCTCTGGCAGAAATACAAATATGCATTGATAATGATCATTTTCCCAGACCCTGGTTTATGTTTCTACATTGACATTCCAAGGGCCGACTCTCAAGTCCCCAAGATTCTACGGGATTTGACCTCTAACTGAAAGACCAAAGATGGGGCTAAGATTTGGGGACTCAAAGGAACCAACTTCATGAAGCAGTGGTGGGCTCTCTGACTCCCAAAGAAGTCATTCCGCATTGTCTGCACCTCATTTAATTTTTCACTGGAATGACAGACAATCTCTGCGATAAATGCAACCAAGGACACCACCCCAAAGAACTTGTTTCTCTTGGAACCACCAAAGGATAAAATGTTCTCAATGCCACCTCCTAAGATAATCACCCTTTCTCAAATGCCCCTTTTAATTGGCTGGTTGACTGTACCCTGGGTGTGACTGCACAAGTTTATTCTGGGTGTATAACCAAGATAGAAAAATATTGCTGATTTCAGAGAACCCTGACAAGGACAATGGTGTAAAAAGTGGACTGAAACTATATTCAAGCACCAATGTAACCACAGCACTTTGAAAAAAAAAAAAGGATTTTTATTTGGGGAAGAATGACCTCTATGACCTCTTTCAGTGCTAAAGCCTATAGCCAGCCTATAGCTTGGCCGCCTACGATCAACAGACCATTTTGCCAGGGAAGGGGCAAGGAGTCCACCCGTGGATTTTAGTGAAATAACTAAGTCACAGGTTGTGAACTGTTCAAATATCTGCACGAACCTTGTGCAAATGTGTAGATGCAAATGTAGGGGAATTCTAGGTTCTAATACGACCTAGAATTAGTATAAATGACCACAATAAAGTCTAAGTAATGAGTACCACGGGTTTGTGAAGCACAGCCTCATAGAAAAACCCTTACAGCAAATTGTTACACCCTTATTTTTGTGAAGCGAGCTACCCATTTTTCCCAAACACTCCTCAACTTTAGAAACTCTGCCTATTTCTAAAAACTAAACTTAAAAGCGGAGCCTTCCAAAACAATGGTGCCAAGGCCTCTGCAATCTGTCTCCTGAGGATCCAGCTTTGTCAAGTGACTTTTCTCCCAAAAAACATTAACACTACCAGAAAAAGACAACCATGCACCCCAAAGTCAATTAGTATTTATAATATCATAAAGTGCACTTCATTTGGGGTCTCTTAATTACTGTCACCATTCTAATGTTTATGAGAGGTGATTCACAATTTCTGGCAAAATACTTCCATTCTGAATGGGAGTTAAATCTACTAGATTTAAAAATAAGACCAACATGTCATGTGCTAAATTAACTCCAAACATATTCTTCACCAATGGTCTGAATGATAAACTTTTTTTTTAAAAAGGAGGCTTTCTTCAGGAATAGTTTTATTTATTTTGTTTGTTTGCTTTTTGTTAGTACTGGGGTTGGAACTCAGGACCTCTTGCTTGCTAGGCTAGCACTCTTACCACTCAAGCCACTCCATCAGCCCAGGATTAGTTTTTATTTTGAATTCAGCAATAAACTTTAGTTTGGCTTGGAAGGGAAGGGGTCCCTTTCCCAGTGTCTATGAAGGTAACTTCAGAGACCTAACAGGAAACAAGGGATTTCAGAGCCCGTTTTCTGAAACTAAAACTGTTGAGTTTATAATAAGAGCCTGTTAAACAATAATTTTTTGAAGGTGAGTATTCCATGAAGGTTAAAGTGTTTAGCAATAAATTAGTGTCAGATAAGGTTATCTGCCTAATGAAAAAAAATTTCCATTTCTCTGTTTACTTGAATACATCCTCTCTGCCTGAAGGGATCTAGTACCATAAATTGACATTTGACTTGCTAAATCTGAACAACATAGATGATTTAATTACATAGAGGTTTTCTGAATGTTGTCGCTTTCTTTTCATCCCAATTATACGTACTTACTGTACATGCTAGTAACTCTTAATTTTCAATCTTTGTTTTCATTATTTTCCCTGACACAATTCACTTCAGCTTGTAGTCATTTAAACCTTAAGTCTTCAAACAAAAGGATGAAAAGTTCAGTAACTTTAATTCCAACACACGCCTTTCACTTGATTGGAATTTTTGACGCTTCGGTTCTACCAAAAGCACTAAACATTTATTCCTATCTAGCCGAAAAGAAATTTACAGTTTCATTATGGGTGTCAGCAACTTACTGTCGTTATCTTAAATTAATTTTTAAAAGACTGTACTCATCTAATTTAAGATTTTTGGTCCTGAATTTAACTGTTAAAAACAAAATTGCTGTGAAAGTATGGAATCTACAAACTCCCTGAGAAGTCACTAATGGGACTCCCATGATCTAACACATGCAAAGCTTTAGCCGTAACCATAAACCCACTAAAAGCTTACGATCTGAAAGTACGTACTACTGTAGCCAGTTTTTTATTAGTTTAATTCCACCAGCAAATCCTAGTTTCTATATTTTAAGTCTCAACTAGAGCAAAATCACAGCACATTTTGAAAGGAACCATCTTAAAGAAGAAAGCACTGGAAAACAGGGCAAGAAAACCATGACCAACAAACACCTTCTGCCACAAACCATCTACTGAACGCCTAGAAACACAGACTGAGCAAAACTTTAGCCTGCGATATTTCAACTCACTTTTAACACTCACAAAACTCCCCATGAATCATTGTATTTTCCTGTGTTTTATTTCACACACACGATTCAATAAATTGCAGAACTTATTCTGCCTTGACTGACAGGCTGACAATTTTCTGAGCCTATTTATTGCCCTTCTTTGGCATGTTTTATTCTATGATTCAATTTTGTAGCTCCTACAAGCCAGGAAAAGCTTACCTTCAAGTTACAGCAAAGTCACTGAAATTCTGCCTAAACTGAGCTATTCCTAGGTACTGAGGAGCTGTGTTTTGTTCTGGAAACCTCTCTCTTAGGCAATGATTGAGCAGAGTGTGTTGAGATATGTGATTGAAAGAAATCCTCTCTATTTCTTCAAAGGGATTTGAGTTATTGTAGTAAATAGGTTGTTCTCAAAAGATTTCACTTAACTTCTTCCTGCCAACATGTATGCAGCCAATTTGTCAAAGGCACCACACGTAACAGGCACACAAATGGAAAAATATCCACATCAAGGTTATCTATCTTATTTCTAAAATTTATTATTTGTTTCTTATTTCATACATTAACTAGTTTGTAAAATTCAGTATTACAAGGTTTACTATGGGATATCAGGCCTAACTATCCTGCAGACAAATTTTGCTTTTCAAAGGTGTAACTGAATATAGTATTGACTTTATAAACAAATATACGTAGGAACAACTTGATTTTAAAAGAATTTCACTGCATGTATTTATTATATATTTACTGATTGACCTATATGGACTATCAATGGAAGAGAGAAAATTTAGGATCTCAAGCATTACGTGCTAGCAGCTTTTAGCCTGAATGTTCAAAAAAAAAAAAAAACTTTCAAAACCACTACTGCGTGTCACTTCACCTTTGCAATGTTAAGTATAATTTAATTAACTTATTTCATGCCAGCCACACAACAAATATGACCTCAAAGGTTCTTTCGGTTTAGAAGTTCTAAGTGTTTGCCTTTAATGGAAAGCCTGGTCAATAACTTCTTTGATAAAAATTGTTTCAACTGCACAACTGTTTTGTTGTTGTTGCTGTTGTTTTGGCTACACCCACGTTTTCATAGCCTAAATACTAACAATGCCAAGATACTTTGCAAGTTGGAGCTTCTCTTACTGCACTTGGATTGATTTTCTACATGATCTACATAAATCTACTTCTTCAATATATTAAGTTCTAGTTCTTTTTCTTGTTGGTCTTTGCTTTCGTAGAGACAGGAAATGAAGTTTGAGGACTTTTCTTTTTGTTACTATCGTTGGTTTTAATCACTTAAGACAAACGGGGCGCAGCGGGGGTGGGGGAGGCTGCATAAGCTAAGCCTAATTCCCCAGAGGAAGATCAGTTCAAGTTCAGTGAACTCACGATTTTGTGGTGAGCCCTAGGACACTGATTTCCTTGTAAAATTATCAGTGAAGACATGAAGAGGTTAGACAAGCTAACTCAAGGTGAGAAGCAAGACCACCAATCTCAAGTTGAAACCCCCAACCCGACTTCCTGACTTAAGCGCTGAATCAGGTCAAGTGTTTGAACTTTCTGGCTGGAAACCATAGCGGGGCTGGTGCCAGGAAGGAGGAAGCGTTGGCCCCAGAGCAGGACAGGCCGGAGACTGGGGCGGCCCACCCCAAGGGCCTCGCTGCCTTCATTTGATGTCCAGTCCCGCGATCCGCACCTTGCCTGGCCCTTCCTGGCCGGGTTGCAGCCGCCTTTGCGATGCCCACCTGGTGAGTCTAGTCTCGTTGCAAGAAAAGAATCGTTTGGCCCTTTCCACTCGCCCTCTTGTCGGAAAGCAGAGGTGACCGACTAGGGCACGACAGCTACCGCACCCCATTTATCTCCCAGCGGGGCGTCTTACCGGTACAGGAATGCAGGGGCTTGGGTCGCACGACCAGCGACGGGCACACGGAGTACAGGGAAAGTTTCTCAAAGTAGTCGCAGGTCTCCTTGGAGAGGATCTCGTCGATCATGAAAGTCTTGTAGCGCCGCCTGGCTGCTTTGAGCTGGCCGGGCGAGCCCAGTCTCAGCTCGGCGTGGCAGTGCATGGTGAACTAGGGCGAGCGCCCGCCGACCCGAGCGCTGCTGCGAGTGCCCGGCCGGCCGGGACCGCGGGGACTGGCGCGCGGCAGGGGACTGAGCCCCGCTCCTCCGCAGCCGGAGAGGCGGCGGGGCTGGCGAGGCGCGCGGAGGGGAGCGGGCACGGGCGCGCCTACTGCGCGTCTACACCCACCCGCGGATCAGCATCTTTGACTAGCCTTTTTGGGACAACGCAGCTGTCAATCAGCGCGCACTTCCTGCAGGGCCAGGTGCTGAGCGCGAGCCGAGGGGCTACAACACCCACCCCCGCCCCTGCCAGCCGGTGGGACCCGGCGGGCTGTGACCTGCGCGCCTGGGGCTGTGCCGGGCGACTCTCACGCGCCTCCTCCCGCTCGTCAGTGTCTTGCGCTACTCTTCCTGGCTCTCTATTTTAAGACACTCGCTTTGGCTCTACTGCCCCCTCCCCCCCCACCCCGCCGCGACTAGCTTCAGGTGTGTGTCCAGGGGTGAGCGCGCGCGCGTGTGCGCGCCGTGCAGCCAGCGCGCGCCGTCCCCTCCCCGCGGTCCAGGCCTCTGCCCGCAGCTTTTCAGAGCAACGTCCTCAGCGCGCACCTTAAAGCCAGTCCTGCAGCCGCGGGCCAGGTTGAGGACCTGAAATCTGAACGACTGATATGCCCAGGGCTAGACCTCGCCAAGGCTCTCGAGGCTGCGGGCCACAGCGCAGGCGCCTCCCGAGGATCACTGTGTCCTTCTTCCTCCCCGCGTGGGTCATTTCTCCACGATCACGATTTCCTCTCCTTCGGCCCGCAGCCCCGAAGCCCACGCCCAGCTCGGGCCGCTCCACCACGATCCCAAAGCATAAGTGATCGTGGTACAGTCCGTTACCCCAATAATAAGCTGCAAAAAAAAAAAAATAGTAAAAGCGTGCGTTTTTTTTTTATTTTAATGTTTAAGCTTTATTTATTAAACGGTTTTCCTAGCAGCAAAGAGCCAGAACACCCCGCTTCCAGGGTGTCCGCGGTCCTTCACACAGTCAGCCCGATTCTGGCTTCTCCAAGCCAACTAAGCCTCCCGGGTCCCTCGCGACGCAACAGAGTTTTGGTAGCCGCGAAGATAGTGTTCATTGGGTGGTTGCCTTCTTCCTTCTGGGTACCTAATCTCCGACTCTGTCCCAATCAATATCTGTACTTTTATTTTCAATCATAATCGTTGAAGGACCCCACCAAGCCCGGCGCCCCGGACGGCTCCCGCTATCGGCGCTGAGCACAGTGGCCGGCAGGAACCGCCCGATGCACGCCAGCTTCCACGATTTTGTTTCGGAATTGGTGTGCGCAGGGCTAGAAAAAAAGCGCAGCACTGGGACAGAAAATTATGGACCCGGACGGCGGATGAGATTGCCTCACCGCTCGCAACCTGGAATAGCCACAAGTCTCCGCGGGCTCTCTGCGGAGCTGCTTGCCCATGGACTTGGGTAGCCGCGTAAGCAAGTCGAGGCGCACCCGGAACGGTGGTTTATCGCATAGGAGGAACACACTTGGAAAACTAATAATTAGACATTTGGGGAAAATAGGCATTAATAGATCGAGTCATAGCCTACCGTTAGACATGGCGGCAACCCGTATTTGAGGACCTTCGTTTTCTAGTTGCTTGTGTGCCCTGGGCCTCCCTCCCCTCCTCTCCATTTATAATTGTTTTTATTTATTCTTCTCCATGCAGAGGCGGCTCGAGAACTGGGGAAAACTGCAGCCAGGAGTCCCCGCGGTGGCGCACGTTACAACACGGGACCCCTGCGTGCCTCCTGCTTTCGAGGCTGGACTCTGTGGCCTGTGGGCTGTCAGGCATCCTGACCACGATCTCTCTCCGCGCAGCCCGGGAGCCGCCAACCCGAGCCAGGACAGAAGAGCTGTCCTTGATGCGGGTGGGGCGGGAAGCCGCTGCTCAGTGAGCCAGGACTGAATCCCAAGGGCGCAGCGATCGCTCCCGGGGCAATCCTGGAGGCGAGCTCGATTTGCCCGGGTGAAGAGAGCTGAGTGTTTGGGGGAATCTGAGAGTCTGGCAGAGCGAAGCGGGCTTGGTGCTCTCGGAGGCCAAGGCCTGCGGGAGGGCACCGAGACTTAAGGCATGGTCAGGGGACAATGATAGGCCCTGGAGTGCGTGCGCAAAACGCCTGCACCCTGGGTCACTCTTCCAATGGCTTGTCTTTGTATGGCCCTCTTTTCCCTCAACTTTTTTTTTTCTCCCCTCCAGCTCTTCCCATTCCTTCTGCCACGAACTTTCTTTTTTCCCTCCCTTTTCTACCTTTGGCCCACTTTTCCTGCACTTTTGGCCTCCTCTCTTCTGTGGAATTTTCTGCTTCTCTTTTCTCCTTTTTCTCCTTCCATCTGCCCTCCCTTCTGTTATCCCCAAAGCTTGCCCTCATTCCTTTTTCTTCCTTCCCTTCACTTCCTCCTCTCTTCCTTCCCCTCTCCCAACTCGAGTCGCAAGGTGTGCTCAAGTGCCCGTGCTTCGTGACACGGCCACGCGGAAGGTTCATCAATGGGCACAGAGCCTCAGATCAGCGCCCCGCACGTGGGAATCGCCCTCCGACCCGCCTCCGTCGTTGGTAGGCAACTCCCCCAACCCTCTCACTCCTCTAGGCTTCCACAGAGCCACAGGCACAAAATTCGCCTAGACTCTCCCACAGATTTGATTTGAAATCTGATGAGTTTTAATAGCTAAAGAAGTAAAGCATTCCAATCAGCTCCTTGGATTTTCCATCTTTTCTATTTTCCACCCCACAGACGCAAGAAATCTCAGAGTGGAGTCTGTGGGCACAAGTTACCACGTGCAGCAGGAGCAAGAGATTAAGGCTCATAACCTAAGCTTTCATTTGTAAATGGTAATCATAATACCTTACAAGTTTGGCCTTTTTAGGAGCCTTTTCTTTTATGCTCACCCATCCCTTCCTCCCTCTTTCTCTGCCCAGAAAAACTGGGTCTAGACCCATCTCAAATGTCACCTGCTCCCTAAAGCGATTCCCAACCCTCAAGGCTGTCCCTTGTGGTGTTTCCTCTACCATATTATCTTTTGCATGTTTATTTCACCCAGTGAACAATGAACTGGGCCAATGGTCTATGCAACGTCATTCATCTCTTATCCCAATACCCACATAGCACCTGACACATGGTGGGTTCTCAGTGAATGTGTCATGAATAAATGAATTTATGAAAGCTAAATTATATAATGTGTTTGATGGGACATCAAATCTTAATTAGTTGTACTAAATTTGTCTTTCTCTTTAAATGAGTCTCTCTCCTCTTTCCTTGACAATTTTGGGTTTTTAGCAGTGGCATCAAGCCCAATTCCCTTTTCATCCCATCCTTCTTTCACTCTGTGCTCTCAGACTGTCACGCACTTCTGTGGGAGGAAGCACACCCCAGCTGTCAATCACAAAGTGGAACTTTGGTCAGAAAACTCAGGGGTTTTGTTTCCAATGCTAATAAAGTGGCTAGAAAAGCAAACATCTGCTGAAGGCGCCCAAACCTTTTCCAGCTGCTGGAGGCACAGACACAGTCACAGACCCTGCGACTGTACTCCTCTGGTAGTGTCTGCCTCTGCATCCACGGAGGAACAGACACACACACAGACAGACGAAGAGGATGTCTGCACTGAGCTGGAAAGGGGGAAAAATTCACACCTTCTGAAAGACTTCAGGGGATCCTTCCCCCCCCCCCATCATGCACCTGAGTTCCTGTAGACAGAGCCCAGCCAGAGAGAAAGGGACCAGGACACTTTTGCAATGTTAGGGCTGGAGACTCTGACAACTAAAAACCAAAGAACCTCTCCCTTTTCATCTTGCACCATGTATCATCCACTCATCCAGGATTCTTGATGTTTAATAAAACGTCACTTTTTTTTCCTTTAATCTTCAGGTGACACTTAAATTGCATCTAGAATCTAACCCTAGATGGACCCAGCTTGACTCTTAGTTAACTTACTGTGTAACATTAGTTTTATGATCTTGAGCTGTGTGTTGATATAAATATTCAGAAGCAGCTAGAACCTAAGCCTGATGAGTACACTAATTCATTTCCCAGCCATCTTTTCTCCAGAGCCGGGGAGTGGGGGGGCCAAAAGCACCTCTTACATTCTAGTTGAGTGTATTCAATAACTCGTATTTCAGCTGCTAAGTTTTGAAATAGTTTCAGACATGTAAAAGCAAAATAAGGAAAGTCTTGTAAGTTAATATTCCCCTGGGCTGCAGGACCATGCCAAGAAGGCTTGCTGGCTGTGCAGCCCACAGCGCAGCCTCGAATAACAAGTTAAAGGAGGTGCGCAAGGAGGCCAGCTTATTTTTAATGGTGATATTAATTTACAAAACTGCTCTCATACTGTAAGGCATCTTTTATGAGAGGGCACAGATGCAATCCTCCTGACAAATGGACTTAGAAAGAAATGGCTAGAGCCTCTCTCCTTTTTCAAAAGCCCAGTTTATATCGGGAAAAAATAAGATAGTTGTATCCACAAAGCACTGAACATTTATACGAAGATGAAAACAATTCATCCATGTGTTTCCAAATTTTGAGAGGCTTGATGCATAGATTAAGATTGGAGGATTAGCTCTCGTTTTATACTGCACTATTCTGACAGCATACAGCTATATTTCTGCCAATACCCTTGTGCCTCCATTATCCCACCTGATGTAGCCAGGAAACTAAAATTTAATTTTCTGAACTTTATCATAATATTGTGAAAATAGATATAGAAGTTTGGAGCATCATTGATTTTCATTATTTTTTTTCTACCTGCTATCCTTTCACTAAGAAGAAAGTTACGATAAGAGAGAAGTGTTCATTTGAAACAGTGGAATGGAATAGGTCCTGGCTGCCTGCAGTAAGAGAAATGAACTTGTGAGTGTGGCAAACCTGGGTTCCATTCCCAGTCTGAACACTAAGTAATTTCTCTGAGGTCTTTAACCATCATACGCGAGTAAGTTGTGCAGGAAGATTCTGGGGCAGGGGCTGGTTGTGTGCAAAACACTAACTCATGAGTTACCAGTCTCCCCGCCACCTTTATTGCTCAATCAAATAAGTGATTTGCTATCAAAATTCCTCACGAGACAAAACTGTACTTGAAAAAGCACCAGAGCCTGCCTCAGCTACTTTGTATGTTTGTCACTGGGTTTTCTCAATGTTCCAAACCAGAATTAAACAAGAAATAAAAAGT